GTTCCCCTTTTGCTTACCGCGCCAGTCGACTTGCGATGAAAGTACCTGGCTGCTGTATTCTGTAGGTATGGTGACATGTGCTCGTATAAGGGGTTCGTAAATAATGACGGTGGCAGTGGCGTCAGTGATCGTCAAAGGGAATCATGATTTCTTTGGAGCAAAAAATAAAACAACGTATGAGATAGATGCTGATTTGTCGGGAGTAATATTTCAGGCTCATCTGCATTTGCCCCAACCCGCAGGGTCATGAATAGATATTCTGCAGCCTCGCTTCGCCTCTGCTACCTAAGGAGCCCCTATTTGTGGTGAGCTGTGGCTCAGCATTATCACACTGCTTCGGGCATCATAATAGAAGCGTTAGGAAAAGTGAGAAATACTAAAAATAAGAACCAGAAAGTCGAGACTTGTATAGAATAGGAAGAGGCTTTGCGGCTCTTGAACTTGTTGATACTGAATGGAATCTCTTGGTGGTCCCTACTTAGTGATACGGTGATACCTGGTACCAAGCTGGTTAAACGAGGAGGCATGACTCGATGTATTGAGAACCAATCAAGTTGTGACAAGACAAAAGGCATGACACTTTGATGAAGCCGAAAAAGACAATACCTTCTAACTATAGAAGTTTATAGATCTATAGTTCTTCTCTACGGATCAAGTTAGGAGCAACTGCCCATCATCGGTAAGCAAGACAGCGCAAGCAAACGGCCCCTTTTCAGCAAAGGACGCCAAAAACTCATTGTAGTGGGGCAAAGAGCTCCACAGTGGAAAAACGGCATAGTGGCTCAGCGGCACCCGAGATGCCAGTGCCAACTTTTGGCGTCTTTTCAGCGTCTTTCTAGCGTCTTGCAGCGTCTTGCAGCCTCGCTGTGGTTGCACCACCCACCGCTGATACGGTGACGTGGGTGATATCACCTGCTAACCGTCTCCGCCCACGCGCTAAAAACCACACCGCAGCCCGTCCCTCCCTTTCACTAGGTACCTTACCTTAGGTAGGTAGTCCATACTGGGGATACTTTATTCTTCACCAAAACGACACACAAACTTGCGTACCTACCTACTCTCGTTTGCCTGGGAAATATCTTCCGAAACATCAACCCTTGCTGCCCCAAAACGCGCCTCTATTTACCTTTCTTTGTGCATGTTGATCCCTTTTTCCTGTAGCACACTCTGCTTTCTTCTTTTAATCATCTCCTCCAGGTCCCCAGATACTGGTCGTCTGGTGTTTCTTCTCTTCTCCGTTTTACCTATTCTCCCAAATCAAACCTTGTTCTCACCTCCTTAACCGCCACAACAAACAGTCTTTGTTGTTCGGCACAGACTGGCGCCATACACCTAACCTGCCAGGCCTACCAGCTGCCAGCTGCCAGCTCCCGCGCCACAGCGCCCCCAAGGGAACAAAAATAAACGAGACATTTCACCCTCGTTTTTTTCACATCTACCTACATCGACGTGCAACTGCCTATTTGCCATCTTGCCCCTTACGACTATCATTCCTTGCGCCCCCACGACTGCTTCTTTATTCTAGCATAGCGTATCTGTTTGCTCCCAGGAGCGCCCCCTACCAACATGGCATACAACGGCCGAGGCCACGAATACGCTGGCGGTTCTGGCCACCAGCTCCATGATATGCCCCCGGGCGGCAATGTATGTTCACCCACCAGCTCTTCAACTCTCAGCAGCATCCTGACGGACCGCTCTTTCCCTCCAGTATCACTTGCCCCCCCAAGAGCACGAAGAAGAGGCTGGCCGCTACCTGCTCAACGAACAGCCCGGCTCCGGCTACGAGCACGATCGCCTCGGCGCTCCTCAGGCTCCCGACCGACCTGTGTCTACCTATAGCTTGACCGAATCCTACGCCCCCGGGGCTGGTCAAACCGTGCCCCAGCCGAACCAGCCCGGCAGCTATGACACCAGCCACGGCCACCTCGGCCAGGAAGGCCAGTTCGTCACAGAGCATGATTTTCCCTACGGCCGTCCGGCCTCGACCTTCGAAGATCCGGACGAGAGTTGGATGCAGCGTCAGCAACAGCCTGGCGGCTTCGGCTCTGGTAACGGCGGCGGTCTCAAGCGCTTCAACACCAGAAAAGTCAAACTTGTCCAGGGCTCTGTCCTTTCCATTGACTACCCTGTCCCTAGTGCCATCAAGAACGCTGTCGAGCCTCGCTACCGTGATGTCGAGGGTGGCAACGAGGAATTCATGAAGATGCGCTACACGGCTGCCACTTGCGACCCCAACGACTTTACCCTCAAAAACGGTTACGATTTGCGCCCTCGCATGTACAATCGCCACACCGAGCTACTCATTGCTATCACATACTACAACGAAGACAAGGTTCTGCTCTCCAGAACCCTTCATGGTGTCATGCAAAATATTCGCGACATTGTCAACCTGAAAAAGTCCACATTCTGGAATAAGGGTGGCCCTGCCTGGCAAAAAATCGTCGTCTGCCTCGTCTTTGACGGTATCGAAAAGGCTGACAAGAACACTCTCGATGTCCTGGCTACAGTCGGTATCTATCAAGATGGTGTCATCAAGAAGGATGTTGATGGCAAGGAAACTGTTGCTCACATTTTCGAGTACACCTCCCAGCTTTCCGTCACTCCTAACCAGCAGCTGATTCGGCCAACTGGCGACAACCCCCAGAATCTGCCCCCTGTGCAGTTCATTTTCTGCCTCAAGCAGAAGAATAGCAAGAAGATCAACTCTCACCGTTGGCTCTTCAACGCCTTTGGCCGCATTCTCAACCCCGAGGTTTGCATTCTGCTAGATGCTGGTACCAAGCCCAGTCCCCGCTCCCTGCTCGCCCTCTGGGAAGGATTTTACAACGACAAGGATCTTGGCGGTGCTTGCGGTGAGATTCACGCCATGTTAGGCAAGGGCGGCAAGAAGCTTTTCAACCCTCTCGTCGCCGTCCAGAATTTCGAATACAAGATTTCCAACATTCTCGACAAACCCCTGGAGAGCTCCTTTGGCTACGTCAGCGTTCTGCCCGGTGCCTTTTCGGCCTATCGCTTCCGTGCTATCATGGGCCGTCCTCTAGAGCAGTATTTCCACGGTGACCATACTCTGTCCAAGAGTTTGGGCAAGAAGGGTATCGACGGCATGAACATCTTCAAGAAGAACATGTTCTTGGCCGAAGACAGAATTCTCTGCTTCGAACTGGTCGCCAAGGCTGGCCAAAAATGGCATTTGTCCTACATCAAGGCCGCCAAGGGTGAGACTGATGTACCCGAAGGTGCTGCCGAGTTCATCTCTCAGCGTCGTCGCTGGCTCAACGGTTCCTTTGCCGCCACTCTCTACTCCCTCATGCACTTTGGCCGCATGTACAAGAGTGGCCACAACCTTGTCCGCATGATCTTTCTCCACATTCAGCTGCTGTACAACATCTTCAATCTCATCTTTACCTGGTTTTCTCTGGCTTCTTACTACCTCACCACCACTGTCATCATGGATCTCGTCGGCACGCCCGTAGTAGGCGGTCAAGGCGGTGCTGAGCATCACGGCTGGCCTTTTGGCGACACTGCAACGCCTCTTATCAACGCGCTCCTCAAGTACTTCTACCTGGCTTTCGTTATCCTACAGTTTATCCTGGCTCTTGGTAATCGTCCGAAGGGTTCCAAATTTACCTACATCGCGTCTTTCATGCTATTTGGTCTCATTCAGACGTATATCCTGGTGCTCTCTGGTTACCTGGTGGCTCGTGCCTTCAACACGCCCTTATCGGAACAAATCAAGCTTGACTCTGGTAAGGATTTTGTCAACAGTTTCTTTTCAGGAGAAGGAGCCGCGGGAGTCATTCTCATCGCCCTGATTACGATTTACGGTCTCTATTTCCTCGCGTCCTTCCTGTATCTGGACCCGTGGCACATGTTCCACTCGTTCCCGTACTATTTGGTTCTCATGTCCACCTATATCAACATTCTCATGATTTATGCCTTCAACAACTGGCACGATGTGTCCTGGGGTACCAAGGGCTCTGACAAGGCCGAGGCATTACCCTCTGCCAATGTCACCAAGGGCGAGAAGAATGAGATTGTCGTTGAGGAAATCGAAAAGGAGCAGGAAGACATTGACAGTCAGTTCGAGCAGACGGTGCGCCGTGCGCTGGCTCCCTTCAAGGAGGTGGAAGAGATTGAGGCCAAGGACGTGGAGGACTCGTACAAGTCTTTCCGTACTGGCCTAGTTGTGTGCTGGTTGTTCTCCAACATTATTCTCATCATTGTCATTACCAGCGACAACTTTAACAGCTTCGGAATAGGGGTAGGTTTCTTAGTTATCCCACCATTTTGCTCACTGCTGACTTTGACAGAAATCCTCATCTGTTCGCACAGCCAACTTTTTCAAGTTTCTTCTGTACGCTACTGCCGTCCTTTCGGTTGTTCGGTTCATGGGTTTCCTGTGGTTCCTCGGCAGGACTGGTATTATGTGCTGCTTTTCCCGAAGATAGTTGTCAAGTTTCTTGTATCATCTTTGTTATTGCCCATCTTGGTTTACATCATGTCTGGAAGGGGAGAAAAGCATTGGGCCCGATTGGAAAGAATAGCCTGGAGGCAGTATGCATGGCGAGGGCCGGAGTCGCTCCTCGTTCATTTGCCAGATTGAGGTTTCTCGTCAATACCTTGTGTTTATCACGAAATAGGTCTTAGATTGCTCTATTTAATATTCGGCGTAAAGACAGAATCGCTCCGCTGTAAATGCCATGCCGTCTCTGTTTTCTTTCGTAACTCACTGCTTAGATAACCAAAATCACCTCTGCGCACGTGCAAGTCTCGCAACAGCATATCTAATCATAAACGCTAACGATTGCCTAATCGGGTGGGCGGTGTCGCAAGCTGCCGCAAGCCTACCGTTGTGGCCCATGACGAGTGGCGGGGGAGGCGCCCGGCGGTTCCTAACCATCCCACCGCAATCGCCCGAGATTGCAACTTCTACACCACACCAACATTCTTGGCCTTTTTGTACGAAATTTGCAACTTTTCGCACGGAGAGGGAACTATATCGGGTGACAGGGTGACCTCGGCCTTTTCTTTGCGATCAAATTCCCGGACGAGTCGCGCGCCGAAACGAGAAGCACAACCCCGCGGAGAACAATTTTTCCCGTCGGAGCAGCAACGCGCGCGGTTGACACCCTTTGCGCCCCCCCCCGGAGCGACTCGCAAGGAATAACGAAACGCGTCCCACGTCGCTTCGGCTTGGAAGGCCTGACATACTGACAGAATGTTGAAAATATGGTCCATGGTATGTGATGACGGGGGCACGAGTGTCCGCCTATTCGCTCGCCCCAGGAGGCTGTTCCCTTGAGAGACTGATGACTGACAGAGTATTGCGGTAATGTAGAAAAAGGAGCAAAAGGATGCGGAGAACGCAGAGGGCCAGGCTGGCAAGAAGAAGAAGGTAACGGCGGCGCAGCTGCGCGTGCAGAAGGGTGCGTATCTAAACCAATCCTCCTGGCCCCAAACGGCACCGGAGCCAGAAAAGATATGCTATGAATAATTAATATGTTAACTGTTCACTTGCAGACCTCTCGGAGCTCTCTCTTGGACAGACCATGACGACTGAATTTCCCGATCCCGACGACATCCTCAACTTTATCCTGACGATTGACCCGGACGAGGGCATGTACCGCTCTGGGCGGTTCACCTTTACCTTTGCCATCAACCAGAGCTTTCCCCACGAGCCACCAAAAGTGTTGTGTCGAGAAAAGATTTTCCACCCCAATATTGATCTCGAGGGCAAGGTGTGTCTCAACATTCTGCGCGAGGACTGGAAGCCGGTCCTGAATTTGAATGCTATCATCGTCGGACTTCAGGTATGCCACCCCCACCCGTCGCTTCGGCAAGAACACCTCTTTTTTTTTTTTTTTTTTTTGAATGGAACACTAATGAAAGCGTCAGTTTTTGTTCCTCGAGCCCAACGCTTCGGATCCACTGAATAAGGAAGCCGCTGAGGACCTTCGTCACAATCGCGAGGGTTTTAAGCGCAACGTGCGCACGGCCATGGGAGGCGGCTCAGTCAAGGGCATTCAATATGACCGTGTGCTAAAATAAGTGCAGCGAAGGATGACAGACATGCCCAAGAAAATACCCGGGAGGGATACGAATAATGAATTGCGAAGCGATGGCAGAGCAACATTCTAAATGCTCATTTAAAAGGTTGACGGCGGAGGCAGAAAGGAATGCATATGTACATGGGAGGCGTCGCCGAAAATAGACAGATATATTATGTGACCGTTCCTTTTGCAACGCATCTATGGCTCGATGTGCAAGATGTGAGTATGAAACGCGCTCTAATTGAGTTTTGTTTCACTTCATTGCAATTGGATGCCAGCCTTTGGCGATGGAAACTATTTAGGCAAACACGGCTAGGTCAGAATGTGTCTTCGGCAAGTTCGTAGGCTTCGCGTCCGTATGCAAGCATGAACAGGGCTGTCACCCTGCTGCTTTGCCGCGGGAGCTCGATTGTGAAGCGGCTGGCATGGCTTCCGGTGCTCTGCCAATGCTTGGAGGATCTGTCGCGAGTCTATTACCGTTTGCGATTTCTTTGCGCGCAGAAAGCAGATAGCCTTCGCCGTCCACGAGTATCCGGCCGATTCGAAGCGGACGCATGTCGCAACCCAGCCGAGCGCAGGTATCGTCCGTCTCGTCCCCTTGCGAGGCTCAGCTTAATGCTCGTCGCGGGCCGCACTTCTAGCTTGCCACCCGGCGATTGCGAGCCATTGACACGTGCAGCGACTCAACTATTTACGAGGGGCCCCCCTTTTCTAAGGATGTTGCTCGATTAATGAAGCTTCTACGGCAGCGGCCGCCCCGCCGCGAGCAAGCGACAACGGCGCATTTCCTCCCCCGGTGCCCCCGGTACCGCTCCAAAGGCCCGAACAGAGTCACAAGAAAATGGGGACGGGTCGGAGGTCCGCTATCGCAAGGCCCCCTGCAGACTGGCCTCTGCCTCCCCGCTTATTTTTTTGGTAGCAGTGGCCAGTGTCCAGTGGGAAGCTGGGAAATGCTAAGCCATTGAGAGAGAGAGAAAATGAACAGAAGCTGAAATAGCAGTGCCTGTGCGGAGTAGAAAGAAAGTCATGATTGCTGAATTTTGTCGGGTAGAATGATTGATGTTTCTGTGTGCATCTGTATTGCAATGGCCCGTTTGTGAGCATCAGTGTGGGCAGATTCCCCCGCTGATTTTCAGATTTCACATGTGGGCGAGAGAGTGGTGCTTGTTGGAGGCTTTTCAGCGCCGAGTTCCTTGAGAGGCTCCAGGTGGACCGAGCAGCAAGAAGCCTGCTGGACCCCTGCAGAATGCATGAATGGCTAGTTTTTACAGGGACAAATTCATTGAAATTTATTTACAGTTGGCATTTGGTGCGCTGTGTGTTCCCCCGATCTCGGTCCCTTCGCTGCCCCAGCAATGGCCAAGTAGCTCCAACCAAGGTCATCCATAGCCAAACCGCAGCCCCCCCAATTCCGGCCTACCACCGATCCTAGTTGATTTTATCTTGGTACTCAAAACTCAATCCGTCCGCTTCTTCGGTTTTTCCCTCTTTCCTCCTCCATCACCAATTCACACCCATCAAGCCTCATACCAATTGAGCTTGCCTCTCCTCTCCGCTCCCCTCTCTATTGCTCTCATCTTATCCTCACACACACCCTCCACTATGGCTTCGAGAGCTTTCTCCAAGGCCCTGCGCGGCCCCCTCGCCCGCCAGCTGGCCGCTCCCGTCCAGCAGCGCGCCGCCTACTCCGTCGCCCGCAGCGCTCTTCGTGCCGCCGCCACCGCTCCGCGCGCCGTTGCCGGCGTCCAGCAGCAGCAGATTCGTGGCATGAAGACCATTGACTTTGCCGGCCACCCCGAGGATGTCTACGGTGCGTAATTTTGAGCCATGGCTGATCAGCCCAGCAAACGGCGCAACGGCCAGCTTGTCGACGTGAGCGACATTGACTAACGCTGGTGAAATACAGAGCGCGCCGACTGGCCTCAGGAGAAGCTTCTTGTACGTGTTTTCTGCCGCTTCAATTGGCCATTGTGAGCATCTGCTAACAAACCACAGGAGTACTTCAAGAACGACACCCTCGCTCTCATCGGCTACGGCTCTCAGGGCCACGGTCAGGGTCTTAACCTCCGCGACAACGGCCTCAACGTCATCGTCGGTGTCCGCAAGAACGGTCAGTCCTGGAAGGACGCCGTCCAGGATGGCTGGGTCCCCGGCAAGAACCTCTTTGAGGTTGACGAGGCCATTGGCAAGGGTACCATCATCATGAACCTCCTCTCTGATGCCGCCCAGTCCGAGACTTGGCCCGCCATCAAGCCCCAGCTTACCAAGGGCAAGGTACGTTTTTCAAGACCGGTTGCAATCAAGCCCAGCTAATAAATGCAGACTCTCTACTTCTCCCACGGCTTCTCCCCCGTCTTCAAGAACAAGACCAAGGTCGACGTCCCCAAGGACATTGACGTCATCCTCTGCGCCCCCAAGGGATCTGGCCGCACCGTCCGCTCTCTCTTCCGTGAGGGTCGTGGCATCAACTCCTCCTTTGCCGTCTACCAGGATGTCACCGGCAAAGCCGAGGAAAAGGCCATTGCTATGGGTGTCGCCATTGGCTCCGGCTACCTCTACAAGACTACCTTTGAGAAGGAGGTCTACTCCGACCTCTACGGTGAGCGCGGCTGCCTCATGGGCGGTATCCACGGCATGTTCCTCGCCCAGTACGAGGTTCTCCGCGAACGCGGCCACAGCCCCTCCGAGGCTTTCAACGAGACCGTCGAGGAGGCCACTCAGTCCCTGTACCCCCTGATTGGTGCCAATGGCATGGACTGGATGTTCGAGGCCTGCTCCACCACCGCCCGCCGCGGCGCCATTGACTGGACCCCCAAGTTCAAGGACGCCCTCAAGCCCGTCTTCAACAGCCTTTACGACTCTGTCCACGACGGTACCGAGACTCAGCGCTCTCTCGACTACAACAGCCAGAAGGATTACCGCCAGAAGTACGAGGCTGAGATGGAGGAGATTCGCAACCTCGAGATCTGGAGAGCCGGCAGAGCTGTCCGGTAAGTTCCCAACATGTTGCTCGAGTTTGAATCTGAACTAATTCCGATTGTAGCGCCCTCCGCCCCGAAAACCAAAAATAAGCGATCCCCGATGGCGTGTGAATAAGAGATGTTTTTTTCCCATGTACGCGACATAAAAAAAACGGCGGACTCTTTACTGAGTCGTGCCGTGGAGTTTTGATACTTGAGTAGCTGTAATATCAATGGACGGCTTTTGTTGCAGATTTCTCCCCCGATGTTGGTGAATTGGTTCGTGGTTGGGCGGATTGAAAGGCTGGGTCATGCCGGACTTCCAGACTAATCCACCAGTAGACGCGGCACATCTTAAACATGCCTCGGTAGGTCGGTAAACCGCTGCCAACTAATTGCAAAATGGCTTTGTTGTCTAGCAACGCTCTCACAAGCCCAAGCTGGCAAGGCTGACGAAGACGATTCCTTGTGCTTCTTTTGACACTTTGCGCGCGCCCTTTTCACTATCTCGGTGGGGTTACTACTCTGTACTCATTCAGTCTAACGACACAGAAATGGTGGGGGTATCCGTCTATACAGATAATTACAATTAGCCTTGGTCTCCCATCTTGACATTGTCGCGTCCCTTACCAAGTCATTCTTTTGGTTTCAAACTTATCCATTCAAACCACCATGGCCGACCTTTCCACCACGGCCCCGCTGAACCGCGCCTCCGTCCAGGCCGCCCACGCCCTCATCGTTCCGCACATCCACCGAACCCCCGTCGTCACCTCGCAGACACTCACGACCCTGGCCTCGACGCCCCGGGCCGACCTCGCCTCTACGCGCTTCGCCGGCCGCACGCCCGCCAAGCCTACTCTGCGTCTGTGGTTCAAATGCGAGAACCTGCAGCGCATGGGCGCCTTTAAAGCCCGCGGCGCGTTCCACGCTCTGGGCAAGCTGCTACAAGAGCCGGGCTGGGTCGAGGGCGGCGGCAAGCAACGTGGTGTCGCCACGCATTCCTCCGGTACGTTTTTTTTTTGGGCCTCGCTTCGCTCGAGATTGGGCTAGAGGGTTACTGCTCTCCTCGCTGGCGCTCGAAGAGGAAGTTGTATGGAGTAGTAGTAGTTGTAGTAGTAGAAGAAGAAGAACAAGCAAAGAATGCTGACACAGTGAACCGTGTAGGGAATCATGCGCAGGCGCTCGCGCTCGCGGCCAAGGAGCACGGCATCCCCGCGCACATCATCATGCCATCCATTTCCGCACCCGCCAAGATTGCCGCCGCGCGGGGCTACGGCGCGCACATTGTCTTTAGCGGGAGCACCTCGTCGGAGCGGCAAGCCGTCGCCGACCAAGTCGTCGCCTCCACCGGCGCGCGCTTCGTTCCGCCCTACGACCACCCCGATATCATGCTCGGCCAGGGCACACTGGGTCTCGAGCTTCAAGCCCAAGCCTCTGAAATCATGACCTCTCCCAACCGTCCCTACGCCGGCAGCAAGACTGGCCTCGACGCCATCATGACGCCCTGTGGCGGCGGCGGCATGCTCTCGGGCGTGGCACTCTCGTGTGAAGCCACGGGCATCCGCGTCTTTGGCGCCGAGCCCTCGTATCAGGGCGCCGACGACGCCAAGCGCGGCTTCGAGAGCGGCGCGCGCATCGAAGCCGTCTCGTCGCTGACAGTCGCCGACGGCCTGCGCACGCCGCTCGGTGCGCACCCGTGGGACGTGGTGTACACGCGCGGCCTGGTCGACGGCATGTACAGCGTCAGCGAGGACGAGATTGTCGCGGCGATGCGGCTCGTGTTTGAGCGCATGAAGATGGTGGTGGAGCCGAGCGCGTGCGTGCCGCTGGCGGTGGCGCTGTTTGATGAGGAGTTTCGCGCCATGGTGGAGAGGGAGGCGGGCGAGGAGGGCTGGGATCTGGGCATCGTGCTGAGCGGAGGCAACGTGGGCGCGGATACGCTGGGGAAGCTGTTTGGCGTGCGCGAGGACTGAACGGGCGATGGTGGGATGGGAAGTGGTTGGGGAGAAGGGGGGAATGGGACGTTGAAAGCCTGAATGGACGGCTGAGTGCTCACGGCTTTTTGCCTTTTTTCTTTTTCCGAGGAGAAATGCACTGAAATGTGGTAGAGAGTTTCCCTTTTTATACAGTACTCCCGAACGAATAGATAGATGGCATAGTTAGTTGATCATATGTGATGAGTTATCGTCGTGTGCCCGCCTTTCTCGCTTGCAAGGTTTCAACCGCCGCCATCGCTAGGTAGTTGAATCAGGGATGTGTTTGGCATTTGGTCATCAACTGTGTGTGATGAGTATTCGAATACCAGACGTCAGCACTCTCGGCGAGGGGGAAAAAGCTAGCCGGCCGGCTATGTCCAAGCAGACTGTGTGGTGTTGATGCGCGCATAGGGCTGATCCATCAGCGAAAAGGACGGCGAGACATGGCTAGCTTGGCAAATAACGGACAAGAACAGACTTGTGCTACAGACATTGTTACCGGCAGTGGCTCTGTGAGCGTGAGTAGCTCAAGAACCTTGGATCATACCTAGAATGCAGCATCAAGATGGATGGCTTTCTTGGTTTGCCCTTGTTTGGTAGCCAAGGTGAAATCTGCACGGGGTGGGCGAAGCAGAGCCTTCCCCGAGAGCCTCACCTATTGATTGCGCCAAGTGTTTGCTGTGGGCTATTGGCTCCAGAATCAGAATCGAGAGTGGATGCCTAGAGAAGGAATCTGAATTCATGAGTATAGAGAATGCGAGCAAATTAACCTAATTCTAGGCAGAAAGAACAAGACAAAAAAAAAAAGGTGTGATGCATCTCTTGAGAACTTGTGTTGGTTGAGCTGGGGTGATGCGAACCAATTGCTGCAGAAGTACCTAGGTAGCCAGCCCTGCCAACGGCGCCCGGATTAACCAGCACGATTTTGATTAAATAAATACCCAGAATACCCAGAATACCCAAGCGAGCCCCGGTAAGGAATTCTCTTGCCCGCCAGTTGTTTTTAGTGCAACGTCTGCGCGTTAGTTGTTGGCGGACCGAATCTGCCTGCCCATCGCTTACCGTAAGTCGTGGAACACCGACTTACGCCCGCACGCCCGCTGAGCACAAAGGTGATATCGTACAAACAGATGCATGCCTATACCAGAGCTTATGTAATTCCGTATATCCATCTCATCTATTGACAATGCGGGTAATTCTATATTTGCACAGTTTTCTCTACCTGTTACCAATCACCAACACGAATGGCCACTGTACATTCACACAACCATGCGCAGTCTGCTTGGCATGACTTCGACACCTTTGCCAGGCCGTAGACGCGTCATCCCGTTACTTCTTTTGCTGATATCCGCGAGTATCTTCCTCTACTCATGGGATGTTGCTCGTGTTCCGCCATATCCTGGCCTGACCAAGCTCCCCGCCCACATCGCACGAGACGAACACCCCATCACACAACTGATTTCGAATGCCACTGCCCATTTCGAAAATATACTGAGCGAACGGTCCTATACACTACATGATGCTGCGGAGCGATACCGACAACGGCGTGGCCGCCATCCGCCACCTGGGTTCGACGCATGGTTCAGACAAGCCATGAAAGATGAAGCCATCATCGTAGAAAGCTTCTTCGATAGGATACACCACGACATAAATCCACTATGGGCGCTTAATCCTCGAAAAATGCGCGTTCAGGCTGCCACACAGCCCCAAGTCATCAGAGTTCGAAACAAAAAGGTCGCCATGATTACTGACGACTTGAAGCGACAGCCATGGATTCAACACTGGACCGCCCTCGTCAAACAGATGATGCCCAACCTGCCAGATCTAGATATGGCTGTCAACGTTATGGACGAGAGTCGCATTTTGACGCCCTGGGAAATCATTAGCAATTATACCAAGCTCGAACAGGAGCGTCGCGAGCTCATCACACCAGACCTCGCAATTACCGAATACAGCGGCTTGCACGACATTGACAGCCAGAAGCTGCAAAGTTTTGACCCCGAATGGATAAAGGATAAAGCACCTCAGTACTGGAATTATTTTCGCGAGACCTGCCCAACTAACAGCCCCGCCAGAAACGTCAGCGCTCTCGAGTCCTTTAACGTGCCTATCGAGTACCCGACGAGCGAGCAGATGCCGTACGCATACCGCGGCTTCATACACAACTTTACCCAGGCCCGCGATCCGTGTCTGCAGCCGCACATGCGCAGTCTTCACGGCACATTCGTCGAAAGCATTAGCATGTCCACCACCAAGACGCTATTCCCGCTGTTTGCCGGCTCCAAGCTGCCCACTAACAATGAGCTGTTGATCCCCGGCGCCATGTACCTCTCGTCGCGCGCCTTTTACAACGGCGGCCGGAGCAGCGGCGGCAAGTGGTCCGCCAAGAAGGACGCCCTCATCTGGCGCGGCACCGCCTCGGGCGGCCGCAACAAGGCCGACAACTGGTGGCATTTCCACCGCCATCGGTGGGTGCAGATGATGAACGGCACCACCGTGTCGCGGGTCGAGGCCGGCGATGCCGCCGGCGCTCCGACCTTTGAATTGCTCTCGGCCCAAAATTACAGTCTGCCTCTCCCCATGCACGGAAAAATCGGTGCGTGGTTGTCAGGCTTTTCCGACGTGTCCTTTGTCCACCTCGAGTGCTTCCCCGAGCCCCCCAAGAAGCCCAAGAAACTACAGGGCACGTGTTCGTATACGGGAAAGCACATGGCCAAGGGCAAGCCGATGCCTATGAAGGAGCAGTACCGCTACAAGTACTTGCCGGACATTGACGGTAATTCCTTTAGTGGCCGCTGGCGCGCCTTTCTCAAGTCGACGAGCATGCCGCTCAAGGCCACCATCTACGCCGAGTGGCACGACGACCGCATGACTCCCTGGGTGCACTTTGTTCCGTTTGACATGTCGTACAAGGACATCTACGCCATTATGCAGTACTTTCTCGACGGTCGTGACGCCCAGGCAGAAGTCATTGCAACGGAGAGCAGTAATTGGGCCAATGCCGTGTACAGAGATGAGGATATGAAGCTCTACGTCTGGAGACTGCTGCTTGAATATGCGCGCGTGGTTGACGACAACCGTCAGCGGCTTGCATTCGTGGACGATTTACGAGGACCGGAGCAATGAAAGGGATATGTGGGAGCCGCTATCCCACGATGCAGATATTGTATTAGTAGCAAATAGACTCATGGACGCAAAATGAGGTCTCACACTTGGATAGTGATTATTTACTGACCTCTTCTATATAGAAGATACTCTAGAGCTTTCATGGGAAGCTGGCCCGGAAAGGACCAATACACGGAGCTCCCTGTCGGCCATGACGGGGCCGAAAGCTACGTTCTCCCGAAACCGCATTCGCCGTTGGAGCTGGTTCCCGAGGCCGCGACGCCGATAGAGGAGCTGTGCGTGCGTAATCAGGCGCCTTTGGAAGGCAATCAAGACCCGTTTATTTGTTCCTCGTTCGCTGTCTCGTCGCATATGCTGTCTTGTCGCATATGCTGTCTCGTCGTACATGCTGTCTTGTCGTACATGCTGTCTTGTACATGCTGTCTTGTCGTAGAGGCTGTCTTGTCGCACACGCTGTCTTGTCGCACACATACATATAGATTTGTGGTTACTACAGGCTGCAGAAATGTTCCGGTCAAATGTCTCAAAGTACTGGTACATGATAGCCTACCACTCGGTGGACAAAAAACATTCTAATCGTGGGCGAAAATCAGTGTAGACCCGCCATATTTTTTGCCCACCCCTTGCCTACCACGGCACCTCCGTGCTACATCCGTGCCGTCAATACGTTTCTGCGCACTTCAGATCGACCTGTGCTTCGACTAACCTCGACACGGATCAATATTCAATCACATCTGATTACTCAAGTCTCATTTTCATGCATGAAGCAATGACAAATGTGCGTCAGTGGGGAGAAGCCTGTCTGTCTTGGATTCGCAATCAAAGAGTACAATCGCGAGCTCGGTCGACTTGTGATGATTCATTGTGCAAAGCAGCTAAAAACAGGGCTAGAACAAATTTGTGTCACTCCATCAAACGAATTTAGCAACCCAGACGTCCATGGTCTTGACACCTTTCTGACCCCCTTCAATACCCCTCAAGCTCGCCTCACACGCATCACGTAGCGCTAAAACCACTGCACGTTCTCGGCCATCCTTCACTTGCTCTTCTACTTCCTCTTCAAACGAGGAATCAAGACAAGCGGACACCTCCCATTGGCCGTCCAACATGTCTTCTGGAGCTTGCACGCGGGTTTCGCTCTCCAGCTTCCACCCGGCAGCCACGGCCAGCTCGGTAAGCCGCTTTGGCCCTAGCACTGTCCGGACGTTGGAGTCGCTATCCTTGGGCTTACGGCACTCCAGGGACGCCTGGGTGAGCGCAGCTAAAACGTGAGGTTGGGCAGAGGGGTGCGCCGCTTCTAGGGACCACTCAGCAAGGAGGAGGCTCTTGCTGTGCTGCTTGATAGCAGAAAAGGTGGAAAGAATGAGCGACGGGGAGGAGAAGTACCAGAGGCTATGTGCAAGCACTGTTGCGTCGAAGGATTTGCTTTCGTCACCAGGCGGAGAGGTGCTAGAAGAGGGCTGGAGAGAAGAGAGGTAGTCCAATGGGGGTTGCTGGACCCAAGTAATTCGGCTACCCAACGGGCCTTGTGAGATGTGACCCTGTGCTTGACCAAGAGTATATGGAGCACCTTCAGTAAAGATTAGCAGACTTTTGTCCATTCATACCATCAGGAGGGGCAATAGAGCTGGAGAAGCGAGAGAGCACTGACCATAATCGAGATCTGCCGGATCTACCGCTACCACTTTCCCCCGCTCGCCCACAGCATCGGCAAGGACAGTTGTGCAGTCCCCCTGGCCGCAGCCTAGTTCCAGCACCTTGGCATCAGCGGCAATGTTCCAGTGCTGCAGGAGCGCGAGGCGGTGAATAGTCTGGGAGTGCTGGATGCCAAAGTGGGCGGGATCGTGTAGGGAGAGGCGGGCGAGAGTGCCGGCGTCGGGCTGAGTGGACATGCTGAAATCGAGGCGTACTGTGTACGAGACTACTGAATGAGAGGGATTTGACCAGATTCGTGACAGAAGGTTGGGGAAAAGGGGCATAGATGACCTTTTAATAATGTGGCTAAGAGGTAGCTATGGAAGGAACACAGAGGGCAAACAAAGAAACCGTTAAGCCGAGTGGACGCGCACAAAGAAAACGGCCCACAAAAGGATCGAAATAAGAGTCATTCTTGCTACGCGGGAGAGGGCAGGAGGGGTGCTTTCTGACATTGCACCTGACAGCTTCTTCCGTTTGCAATGTCTCCTTGCTGTTTAGTAAGGCTATCAAGGCACTCACATACCGATAGAATAATTTTATATTGACTCGTACACGTATTAGATATCCTAATAGCCTTGCTAGACAGCAAGGAGACATTCTTACGTGACAGCGTACGGATATTTCAGCCGTTGTTAAAAAATTTCCCTGCGCGGCCGACCTAATAATACTGGTAACTGCTCCGTGGCAGCCTAACTAACCACTGAACCCACTTACCCCGCTCATGCCCTCCTTCTCACCAACTCGAAGCCAAAGATCGGCGCCATATCAATCTGCATAAAACTAGCATGACACCCCACGCGTTGGCACTTCAACTCCACCACCAGACCTTTCTCCCCGGTGGGACAGGCGAACTCTCGTGTTGTACTGTTGGGTGTGCGTGTGAGGTCAAGCACGCCCAGCAACTCTCCGCGCACGGGAAGGGTCGAATATGACAAGGTGTCATAATCGACCTCGTCCATACTGGAAGAGGCTGTGGCTGACGGTGCGATGAGCTGCCAGACTTCAATTTCCGTTACGTCACCCTTGGTTATGAGGTCCCGGGCACGCGCAGAGAGCTCCGGAGGCGGCCGCCAGGAGACTGCACAGGCGTTGACGCCAGTAGAGGGGGCGGGCGCGGGGAACCTCATGATGGTGGAGTCCTTTGGCCACGTCAGCAGCTGCAGAAAAAGCAATAATACCATACTGGTACATGGGGAATTGGGGGATGGCAATGAATGATCAGCCAACACAAACCTCGACAGTAATATAGACCTGCACGCCCTGGCCCCACACGGATTTCTTCAGTTTGCGGCTCACCCGTGCAATTCGATCCGGCCAGGCGTGGTGATAGACCTGGGGTGGGGGGAGAAAATCTGCAAGTCTATCCAGACCCAGTCTAGCGTCGCCGTATGGGAGCTCCTCCAGTTCAGAGTCAGAGAAGGGGTGGGCTTGGTACTTTGAGAGTGTAATAGGAAGGAGAGCAATGTTGACAGTCGATAGCAGCGCTAGGGCCAAGGAGAAGTAGAGAATGAGCTTGGGCAGCGGGGAGGGCTGAGCGGGCATGTTGTCCGAAGCTTCCAGCAAAGGCACCGAGTGGTCGTCCTCGGAGGAGAGCCGCTTCTCACTAGCTGCGCCGAAACCCTCGCCCTCGTCGCGTACCGAAAGAGGCTCATACTGGGAAGAGCTGGGCTTTGCTTTGGAGGAGAACATGGTGAGGAATGGTCAACGGGTACGGAGCAGGGAAGAACGAGCGGAGAGGAGGATGAAGGGCAAAGGCAAGTAGCGATATGTGTATTTCTGAGCTGGCCTTGTTCAGCGGCATGGCAACGTCACCTTTTTTCGTTCAATCCGGTTGTTTGTACAGCCACCCTACCAGTACGCTCTTTTATCTTTGAGCCAAGCTGAGACTGAACATAAGACGGATATTCTCAGCCGATCGGCACGGCAAATGCAACCCCTTCCAAGCGTCTGGTCACCGCGCATGCTTCGGTCGATGCTGTACCAACTGATACGACCCAGTTCTGCGACCCAGACAGTGTGGGGTGTAGTACTCCGTACTGACATCTCCATCTGGTTTGGTAGGGACGGCCCTGGGGTAAAGTCTGACCGGATTAGCATACCAAGTACTTCATCTTGCCCTCGCTCTGTTCAGTGACTGCACTTGCCAACGGTCAACCATGCGCTCAATTCTCGCCGCAATCACACTTCTGCTCGCCGTCCGAATCGGCGCCAGTCTCACATCCGGAGCGCACGCCGGCTTTCACGTACAATTTCCATGGATGACTCGCGGTCCAAACCCAAAGATCCGACCTGGGTTAGATCAATATAACCCATTCTGCGGTATGTCCCTCCCCATCTCCGGTCTCTAGCAGTAGCGTAGGCTGACATGGAAAAGGCGAAATTGTGCACAACCCTCAACGGTACTCCCGCCGCTCCCGCAGTTTCCTCTCGTTTTCTGGCCATCCCGGCGACCTTGTGACGGCACTTTATACCCGGCATAGAGTGCCGAGGAAGAGAAGTGACTTCCCCTACATTATTCTACAGAATGTGCCCATCCAGCCTTCGGGTCAGCTGTGCGTGAACGTCACAATACCATTTCGGACCAAGGCCGACGAGATCGGGGTCATGTACTTTGAGGCCAGGGATCCCGAGACGGGTAACGTGCAACACTATGTCAGTTGCCCCTGGTTGTAATACAAGAGTGAATGCTGACGCAAATATAGTGCTCCGACGTCAAGATGGCTGATGAAGAGGCCCTTCCGGAGGAGCATCCAGCTATGTGTGCGGCTAACAACGAAACACTCATCCCGATGCCGGACGAGTACCTGTAGATGTAGGCTGGAGAGCCGTCATGTCCTTCTATCAACAAGTGCCGCTTGCTTCTGAATGTGTAATTTTCAGGTCCTCTCTTCTCTGATCAATTACTATTGTCATCAAGCAGATGTCAGCTCTATTACTGTTGTATCCGCTTCTATCAAATAACAGAGTACGCATATGATTGCTACAGCTATCAATCGCGTGTGTAAAGCAATCATTCACTGTACCTAAATAGATTGTAAGCCCAACGTATGAAGCTGACCTAGCTAGATGGCAAGCTAATGTTCAGGTACAAGCTCGGTCTATACTAATGTATTTTTACTATACCACTAGCCATGGAGAGGCTAGCGAGATGGCATCAAACAAATGTATTGCAGAAGAACCCGCATTGCTTACAAAGAGCATCAAGACCGCAATGGAGTCTTAAGCTCTAGCACGCCCATACAAGGTATAGAGAGGCTGAGTAGTCATATATGTCTCATACGTGCAGCATGATGCTTGAGATACTGATTCAATTTCCCTATTTAGGCATATTCGTACTACTGTGTTTCCAACGTGACGACATACCGTACGCTCAAAAGACGGCGCAATGTTTAGCGAGTTGTGGCGCTCATCTATAGAACATAGGATACACGCCTTCAGTGCTCCTTCCATGCGATACACTCAGTCTTCCTCAGCCGAGGAGTCTGTGCATGGAAAGGAAATTGCTTTCATTCCTCGTCTTCGTCCAGCCAGTAGCGGTGACGCTTCTCAAGTGCGGCGCCTTCGTCCTCATCCAGGCCATAGCGGTGACGCTTCTCAAGTGAGGCGTCCTCGTCATCATCTAGGCGGTAGCGGTGACGTTGTTCATTTGCGTCGTTCTCGTCATCATCTAGAAAGTAACGGTGACGCTTCTCGA